TAAAGTTAATTTCAACTTACATTTCATTCTCATATCACGTCTTTCTTCGTTCATTACGGTTTTAAACAAGCTACAGATCGACGTATACGGTATTTACTCCCATGTTCACGTCCCCATATTAACTTCTTCCAATCATTCGATTACAAAACAAATCATTTCTATATACAAATTATTTCATAGTCGACTTTCAAAAGAATAACCGTTAATTTGTAAATCGTTGAATGGAAAGGGAAAAATCGTCAGCTAAAACAGCTTCTTGCTAACTTTCTGCTTTGTTTTGAATGTAAATGCAATGAGCTTTGTTTCTGCCCGCGATTTTTTGGTCAGCGACGACAAATTTCCTACCTGTTCTCGCGGCCTCGCCTACATTTCCCAGACATTGTTTCAACATGAAGTACTCGTAATTATGCAAACACTGAACGCAGGCTCGCCTTGCTTGCGTCTTGTTAGGGCCTGTACACCAGGTTCATATCAGTATGGCTGGCCCATTAAACCAGGCTTGCTCGTTTCGCCCGCGGGCCAAGTTTGTTTCACATGAGGCGGGCTCAGGCTTTCATATTAGCCCGGGTCCTAAAAGAGGGTCTCCAATTTTGGTACAACGACACATCTACAGTAAGGGGGGAGTGAGAAAACGTTCCTCTGGATAATCTTTGAGGTTTATGTTACTTCATGTCAGTATCTGTTCCAAGCTCGTTCGAAATTTTTCAAACACACTTGGCTTTGTGAGTTTGTGCCGCTAGGCTTCTTCACTTAACTACGACATTTTCATTCAGCCAGGTACACCATCAAATTAATTGATCAAAATGTGAAATGTATAATAATAATGAGAATTTAAGCTATTTCGTTTCAGATATATTAATATACTTAGAGAATTGAAAATAATTTCCTTTTTCCCCAAGAATTTGGGCGTCCAAAGGCGTCCTTTTTTTGTTCTAGGGGTATCCCAGGACGCATTGACGCCCTTCTGGCTAAAAGCCGGGGGGGGGGCTATATAGCCCAGAAGCGCTATAGAAATTCCCACGCGATTTTTGGCGGGAACGCGATATTTGTTTGAACTCGATATTTGTTGTGTGAAACGATTTCTAAAGCAGTCTTACATGTTTTTTTTTATATTTGCTGCCTTCATTCTTGGCAAACAGCCATATTTTTGAGACCACGCAGTAACACCCATGAACCATAGCTATGCGCCCTGATTATTGATAAACTTCAGATTTCGCTAATCCTCTTATTTTCCCTAATAAAAATAGCCGAGTAGAATTAGTACCCTCGCCCCGGCATACTCCCTGAATTGGCTCGGCCGGAATTATACTGGATATGCTTCCAACGTTTTTGAACTCACTAGTTGTTGCTAAAGAAAATTGCATCTTTAAGTCAGTTTCTTACAAGTAAAAAACTGAGACTAAATGCATGAACTTACGTAAAGCGCTCATGATATGTTAATTAAGATTGATAAAGAGACATTTTTATGAGAGAGTAAAGTTATTAGGTTTGGGCGGGGGGAGGATCGAAAGTGGACTACAATTATAGTTCTACTCACCATAGCAATTTACACCATATCCGGTATAACCAGGATTACAATTGCACAAAAAAGTGCCAATAGTATTAACACATTGAGAATTACTTCGACAGGTGTCCAATCCTCGGGAACACTCATCCACATCTACATAGAATAATCAAAAACATGAAAAACTTTTTAGCACCTTTTTCAAACATTTCCTAAATTTGCAGTCTTTATATTTGTGTCGCGTTTTCCAGTAACGGTTCAGTAATAAAATGACAACGCCAGTCACCCTACGATGGTTATAGATTAAGTCGTCGCAAGAATGTTTTATATGACCCCATGCATGCAGTTACTCCCAATACCCGGATCACTTTACATATCGAATTGTCTAACCAATACAATACAAAATGTCGGATACCGGATTGAATATTTTGATCACAATAAAATAACGAAGACTCGGGAATTTCTCGTGTGGGTTTCAAGACAACGACTTGTTTTGATGAAATATTGTCCCCGAGCCGACGGCGCGAAGCGCCGTGCGAGGGTACTAATTCCCCCCGGCTATTTACACCCGGGGAAGGGAAGCATTAGCGAAGTCTAAAGTTCATCAAATATCGCGGGCGTGGGTCACTGTGCGTGTTTCGGTGGGTGGTCATCCTCACTGATCTCATAATATAGCGGACTGTAATGAATAGCCAACACTGATTGGTCCAATTTAAAATTGGCATTATAACGGCTGCATGACGATTGACGACAGCGAAATTGATTTGATGATTTCTTGCAAATATATTTCATTTTGCAAGATTTTGTAAATTGCAAAGGATTTTTGATGAAATAAAGGCAAGAGGATTGCTAAAAGAAGGAAGTAAAGGTGCCGACGTTAACGAAGGTAAGTTTGTTTTAAATATTGATGCATTGTTTGCTTTTAATATACTGTAATCTCGGCTGTAATTACTTTAATAGCCGATCGTTGCGTATATAAAATATGAAACAAAACAGCGTATTATTTCAGTGTTTCTTTATTGATTACACTTTCTATTATACTAAGCAAAGTTATTTTAACATGGGAGAATTTGGAATCATTTTATTTCGAACTCAAAGTTTATCGATAAAGGCAGTTTAGTTCTATATCAAAAGAACACTTTCAAACGTTTTGCGAAGAGTTTGTCGTTTAATTTTACCTTAAATTGAAGCTTACATTATACGTATAATAACATACCTACTGTAATTACTTTAAAAGCCGATCGTTGTGTATAAATATGAAACAAGACAGCGTATTATTTCAGTGTTTCTTTATTGAGTACACTTTTTATTATACTAAGCAAAGTTATTTTCATGGGAGAATTTGGAATCATTTTTTTTCGAACTCAAAGTTTATCGATAAAGGCAGTTTAGTTCTATAGTAAAAGAACATTTTAAAACGTTTTGCGTAGCGTTTGTGGTTGAATTTTACCTTAAATTCAAGCTTATATTACGTATAATAACATACCTAACATATATATGTTTAGGAAATTGATAATTTTGTAATTAAAAGTGATATTTATAGGGGATTTTTCATTTGTGAAAATATTCTTAAAAAATTATCGTATTACCATGACAACTACTTAAAATACTTCACGTTCAGAAAATAAAATGGTTTTGTCAGCAAGGCGAGGGTTTCTGCATGCATGTATTTTCTAGTATTTATATATGCAACACTTTTCGCATTTATGTATTCAACAGAATTTCGCATTTATATATTCAACATTGAATAAGAATGTAAACTTTTCGTGTTGAATATGAATATGTTCATAGTTGAAGTTGAATAAGTATATTTCGTGTGTTTATTGTTGAATATGAATATAATTATTGTTGTTGAATATAATTATTTTAGGTTGAAGTTGAATAAATATATTTCATATGTGTTTATTGTTGAATATGAATATAATTATTGTTGTTGAATATAATTATCCCCGAGCCGACGGCGCGAAGCACCGTGCGAGGGTACTAATTCCCCCCGGCTATTTACACCCGGGGAAGGGAAGCATTAGCGAAGTCTAAAGTTCATCAAATATCGCGGGCGTGGGTCACTGTGCGTGTTTCGGTGGGTGGTCATCCTCACTGATCTCATAATATAGCGGACTGTAATGAATAGCCAACACTGATTGGTCCAATTTAAAATTGGCATTATAACGGCTGCATGACGATTGACGACCAGGGTTGGTAACTTGGCCTTTTTGCGGCCAAATAACTCGATTTTGGCTTTTTTTATTTCTTGTTTGGCCTTGAAAAAAATGGTTGGCCTTTTGGCTCTATTTTGGCTTTTTTATCAAGTGACAGGAATTTTCACTATTTTTTAGTATAATTTATTGTGCCGGAATGTTAAACAATAAAGCAACATGTAAGAATGTAAAAATTGGGTATCGTTGACAGAGATAACCTAATTTTATTGACACTCAGTAAGATTTCAGGAAATTCAGCCAATCGTAAAGCCAAAAACTAACCAATCACAACATGGTAGCTATGTCCTCGCAGAGGTCCTTCCCGAAAAAACGACAAAATTTGCTTTAAAATTTAAAATTTTTATCTGTCAACATACTGCAAAGTCGATAAGATTTGGCTCTTTTTTGGCTTTTTTCAAAAAAATGAAATTTGGCCTTATTTAGTAGCATTTGGCCTTTTTTTAAAGGTCATTTGGCTTTGTGCATGCGCAAAAGCCTACCAACCCTGTTGACGACAGCGAAATTGATTTGATGATTTCTTGCAAATATATTTCATTTTTGCAAGATTTTGTAAATTGCAAAGGATTTTTGATGAAATAAAGGCAAGAGGATTGCTAAAAGAAGGAAGTAAAGGTGCCGACGTTAACGAAGGTAAGTTTGTTTTAAATATTGATGCATTGTTCGCTTTTAATATACTGTAATCTCGGCTGTAATTACTTTAAAAGCCGATCGTTGCGTACTGTATATATAAAATATGAAACAAGACAGCGTATTATTTCAGTGTTTCTTTATTGATTACACTTTTTATTATACTAAGCAAAGTTATTTACATGGGAGAATTTGGAATCATTTTATTTCGAACTCAAAGTTTATCGATAAAGGCAGTTTAGTTCTATATTAAAAGAACACTTTCAAACGTTTTGCGAAGCGTTTGTGGTTGAATTTTACCTTAAATTGAAGCTTATATTACGTATAATAACATACCTACTGTAATTACTTTAAAAGCCAATCGATGTGTATCAATATGAAACAAGACAGCGTATTATGTCAGTGTTTCTTTATTGATTACACTTTTTATTATACTAAGCAAAGTTATTTGCATGGGAGAATTTGGAATCATTTTATTTCGAACTCAAAGTTTATCGATAAAGGCAGTTTAGTTCTATAGTAAAAGAACATTTTAAAACGTTTTGCGAAGCGTTTGTGGTTGAATTTTACCTTAAATTCAAGCTTATATTACGTATAATAACATACCTAACATATATATGTTTAGGAAATTGATAATTTTGTAATTAAAAGTGATACTGATATTTATAGGGGATTTTTCATTTGTAAAAATATTCTTAAAAAATTATCGTGTTACCATGACAACTACTTAAAATACTTCACGTTCAGAAAATAAAATGGTTTTGTCAGCAAGGCGAGGGTTTCTGCATGCATGTATTTTCTAGTATTTTGTTAACATTCTTCTTCAAATGAGAGATTTAAATTATTGAAATACTTTATTTTCTTAGTGATCATTCTACAATAAGAATATGCTTGAAAAATGCTTTTTGAAGCACAAATACACATTTTACTTGCCAAAACATTTTGTTTGTTACGAAATTTATGAAAAATATTTGACCGAATCAAGAACACTTTTGATTTTATAATGAATATAATAAAAAACAATATAATTATTTTACCTGTTGAAGAACATTCTACTCCTGCGTCCTTGTAGTGCCCGCAAGTATGATTTCTCCATCCGTTATTACGACAAGTGATTAAATTTCGTTCCCTTCCGGTACATCTGACATAATTTAGCCATATCTGTCCAGTGCCATCAGGAACTTCGTACCCTCGAAGAGCTCTAACAGTATATTGATATCCAAGTTGACGGCAAACAACCCTAGCATCGTTTATATCCCAAGAATTGTCACAGATTGTTCCCCATCGTCCATTGTAAAGTACTTCCACGCGACCAGTACCATTGGAACGTGATGGTCCTCGTAATCTGACAGATATATCTGTAAATATTTGACCAATTAAAAGAAAAAACAGGTACATAGCGAGACACAGTAATATGCACCTTTTTGTCCCGCATATATAGCACCTGATAGTGATAAACCGCAGTATAATTACAAACATTCGACTTTTTAAATTCTCAGCCAGTTCGAACTTTCACAAGATAGACCCGCCTATATATGGCCAGAAATTAACGGCCAAAATTAATGACCCCAAGTAATCCAGTTTTCGGTACCTTTTTTAAAGCAGTTTTGACACGTACCAATGTATACAAATAAAAATAGTAAGTTTATTTTTTATTTCCATTCAAACTTCAATGTCGCAGTCGTTAGACCAAGCGCCTTTCACTGATGAGATCGTGGGTTCGATTATCTGATTGCCAACTCGTGTGAAATGATAGTTTTACGATTCAGTCAAAGTTCTGCCGAAACCGAAAATTGTGAGTTCTCCGGGAGCTCCGGTTTCCTCCCACAGGGTAGGAAAGGAATAGGATATCTATGGGATAAACACATTTCAGAAAGTAATTATGTATGAATCACAATTGTTGTAAAAAATAAAATAGTCTAGCAGGCTAAGCATATTAGAATAAGCATATAATACTTGATGTAAAACAAATTTGAAATCTGAGCTATAAAAATGAGCTATAAAAATGTGATATACAAACACCTGACGCAATGCCAATGTATTTTTTCATGCATACTTAACATAGGTGCACATAATTATATCATCCTGTTTAGGTCGAAGGATGTATTATAATCTCAGAATGCGATTGTTGCACAAATAATTTGTAATAGGTACCGCAAGAAATGACACAAGGGATTAAAATCTGAAATAACAACGCAAATTCGTTGAGGCTAATTATAGCTTAATTATACAGCCCACAGAGATAAAACATCTTGCTTGTTCGTGGCAGATAAAATTGAGTTGATTCAGAAACTTGATTTACAGATTTTCGTTGTTTGTGATATCAGTTTTTCCAATCAAATTGAAGAACGACGGCGTCGGTGGTACGTTGTTACGAATTTAGTATGTCGCCATTATAATAAAAATTGACGACATTAATGTAATAGAAGTTTATAGACGTATAAACAAAATACCAAGCACTAAATATTAACGTGAAATTGTAACTTGAAGGTTGGTCCTAAAGATAACGCGTTTTTACAATTATCACTTTTCAAAACGTAGAACTATTAACTATAGTTACCGTTACAGTTACTTAAAAATGTAGCGATTACTTGTAATTTTGTTGCTTGTATAAACGAAGTTACTGACAGTACTGCATGTATAGACCGCTTAACGTCTTCTCCCTAGGAAAATAGTTTTGTTTTGAGGCGCAGATGAATATTTCCCTGGACGAAATCAACGACATTCCTACAACAATTGTATTTCATGACAAAAACCCTATAGTTCAAACGAATGTAAATTAAAACAATCTGTTAAGTTTAGAAGGTATCATCGGCATATCCTGTTGCTTGTTGTGTATTTTTCGTCTCTTTTAAATGCAGCTTTATTTTAACAAAAATTTGGAAACTCGTTGTTCACAAACTTCCGAGTTGTGCCGCCATTTTGTTTATTTATGTACAGTATCTAGGGTCGGGCGGGCAATTGCAATTTTCGCTTGTTGCCCGGTGGGATCATAGTATTTCAAAACATGGTTCGGAAACTCCGCCAAAGTCTTTGTTCTATCTTTTTGTTCGCGTTTATGCAGTTTTGTGCACGGTGCACGGTCAATGAACACATTGAATTTCAGTTCAATGAACGAATCATCCAATAGCAACGTTTCATTTCACTCATTCAACCATGCTATTTAAATATTAATAAACCTAAACTGAACAAAGGATGTGCACGGCTTAAGTACGCCTCAGTTGAGTTTCCAGACTATGTCTCGAAAGACTATGGATACATTGCATTTATCTAAAGTCACGTGTCCACAAATCAGCCTACACATTTGGTGTTCACCCATACATAACAATAAGGTGTTATATACTTATATAATATACAATGTAATTTCTTACTATTGCATTGCTGTCAGCGCGTTCTATTGCTCATGTTCTACTTACCAGGACGCATGTGAAACATGATGTCAGTGACACGGTTTCATACCAGTGGTTAAGAAGAATCTTATAATTTTTACCTTTTCCAGAACATTCTACTCCTGCGTCCTCGTAATGCCCGCAATTGTGATTTCCCCATCCATTATGAGAGCAACTGATTAGATTTTCTTCATTTCCAGTACAACCGACATAACTTAACCATATCTGACCTGTTCCATGAGGACGATACCCTCGAAGAGCTCTAACAGCATTTCCATACCCAAGTTGACGACATACAACCCTAGCATCCCATATGTCCCAATTATAATGACAAATTGTCCCCCATCGTCCATTGTAGAATACTTCCACACGACCATTACCATTGGAACTTGATGGTCCTCGTAACCGGACAGATACACCTGTAAATATTTAATACCAATTAAGACGAAGAGTGGGTGGAAAGTGAGATCATAAAACATCTATTTTGCATGACCCCTCTCTTGACGTAACGTGCATGTCCTCAATAATCAAAAGATGGCGAACAGCTCACTTTTTTCAGTCGAGATATTTTGAAAACTAAGCCAGATAAAAACAATCTGATATTAATTTTAATATGTAGTTTTGAGAGTTCTTTAAAATGAACTAAAAAATTTTTTATTGCCAATGTCCTTTAAAGGAAAATATGATCATCAATTAACCTCTGCAAAATACCCTGGCGATGAAATAGGCACTTTAACATCAACTATAGGACAAGCACTGCAAAATCACAAATACCAAAGACATCAGAAAAGCACCGGTTTGCAACTCTGCTAACCTGCTGCTTTGTAAGGTCACAGAACACCCTAGACACATGGTCCGAAAACTCGATGTTTTTACATGCTCAGAACGTGACTGTACTCTCTCATATGCAAAGGAATCAAAGAAAATATTTAAAATTGAATGAGTAATTAAGGATAATGTTTTTCAAATTGTATTCCTAGCAGGAGACTTTCCACACATTCCCCGTGGTTGTTGTTGAAAATATTACTACTAACCACATAGCATGCAAAATACTGCAAATTGGACCGGTACGCTATTATGTCAATTATAAACCTTTATGTTTCTCCGATATTTCGCCAAAAAAAGTTCGGTCAGTGTACCATTTTAGGGGTCCAAAAATTTTTCGGACATACCAAAATTTTTCGGAACATCAAACAAATTTTCCCAAACATCAAAAAATTGACATAATTTCCCGCAAAATTGACAGAATTTGTCCCATTTATTTTTATAATAACCCAATATTGCCCGACTGTGAAGTGAATATTGCCCAACTGGCTTTGTTTGCCCAACAAACTGGGGTTATTATTAAGAAAGATTTTATTGCTTTGACTACTTTTTGCCCGACTTTTGCCCGACTTTTGTTGAACATTTGCCCGACTTTTCGATTCCCCCCCCCCCCGTCCCGTACGCCTATGGTCATACATGTAAGCTCAGGCACAGAGAACACCGTAAATGGATTATAAACCTCTTGCAATGTTATTGGTAACGCCAATTGAATTATCATTCCAGTTACAGTAAGGGTAGAAATTAGCACTTAGGTGTGACACACCACCTTTCAGCCTTACGTCGATTAGATAAAAACCCCGAAAATATAGGACGCGCAAAATCGCGTAGCATGCTTCGCGTGAAAATGGCACCGCATGACACTAAGTTAATGACGTAATTGAAACCCAAGCGGGAGAAAAATGCATGCTTCAACCGACCACCGTGCGACCGAGCAGAAATGAAATGGCCAGAGGCAAAATTTGAGGGGTATGGGGG